GTACTTTTCTACATTTATTTTCAGTAGAAAGTTTCATTATTGAAAAATACAAGTTCTAGAAAACTGAAATCCACTTATGTGGCAGCTGACCAGCACTAAGACACTATTCTACAAGAACCAATGAAGAGAGGACACACAGTGTCAAACCACTACCATTGGTGTGCAACAATGCAATGTACTGTGATACGGTTTTGTACTTGACTTGGAGAAATTTTCAGTGTTTTAGAAAGATGCATCAATCTGAATTTCCACAAATCTTTAATACAGTTCAATAATATATAAATATTCTATTGCCATATTTTTTAGTTAACTAGTGTAGTTCTGTTCTCAATTTTTGTCTTTCTACCCAGTTTTGTTTAATTTTTTTTTCCAGTATGGTTTACCATGTCCCTTATGTCTTATAACAGACCCTGAAATAACGAAAGGAAGTTCCGTTTCCTTAAGATTGCTCTAAATCAGTCTCCTTGACTAATCAGCTTCTCACTGGTTTTGTTTTAAACTCAGTTATACAGGAGGAAAAAAAGATGTTTCTGAGAAACAGTTACTAAGTTGTCTCTTTAAGAACCATATGAGTAGACTGGATCTGGTGGTCATGACTGCACTCAGGAGGCAGAGGCAGGAAGAACTCTGATTTTGAGACCAGCCTGGTCTACAAAGCAAGTTCCACTAGAGCCAGGACTACACTATACAGAGAAAACTTGTCTTGCAAAACAAACAGAAGAATGTATGAATGAAAGAAGTAGATGGGCAGAGATGGAGGTAAAACAAACTAGTTTTAGGAAAAGATAGCATAAGAATTCAATTTTAGGGCTAAAACCCCCAACCTTATCAAAGTTGCAGCATGTTGACACATACCCATGACCTTAGCACTCAGGAGGCTGATGCAGGAGGATCAAGAGTTTGCAACTATTATGGGCTATATAATGAATCCACAACAGCCTGAACTAAGTAGCAAGACCCTGCACTTGTCCCAAGAGATGAAACTACATCAAATTAAACTAATCAAAATCAGAAACCAACTTGATAAAGCTGTACATCTGTAGAGTAACACAAGCAGCATTAACCGAGATTTCACTAAAATGGTTGCTCAAACCCTAATCAGTCAAATGCAAGATGAGTTAAGTGCAAAGTCTTTGGAAAACAAAACTATTACACATATTCATGATGAGACAGATGCAGCTCAATACAAATGTAAAGACCTGGCAAACAAAACTGTTGTTTAGTTCAAAGCAAGCCAATACAATAGAGTAACCAAAAACCTGTCAAATAAACAAAACACAACAAAAACACATTAAAATAATTTAAGTGGGAGCTAAAGAGATAGCCTCATGATTGCACTTGCTGCTCTGGTAATAGGAACAGAGTCTACTCTGGTAACAGAGCCACCCATATCAGGTGGCTAACAGCTACCTATAATTCCAGCTTCAGGGGATCTAATGCCTTCTTCTGGCATCCTTGGGTACCTGTATGCACGTTAATATGCATACAAATATAAATAAATGCATAAGTATAAATAAGCATTTAAAAATATATGTACACAGTAAGTAGAATTAGGTTGTAAATAGGCCCGTGATCCTTCAGTCCCTAAGTAAGTATTCATTCTGAAGGAGCCTAACATATCACTGGTCCTTAAAAAAATATCAGGAAAAGGCTAAAACCAAAACCAATGATTGTGGAAATAACTTGAGTTTATGTATCTGGAAGAGCAGAACAGGTAAGCTAAGGCAGTGAAACATGAGAGTAATCTTTAGTATTTGTGGTAATGCACTGTAGAAAAGGAAATGATAACCCATTCTGTGTTGCTCCACAGAGGCAGATCTAGAACCAGCAGGTAGACATTATGGAAACATATTTAGATTTAATGATTAAAAACCTTTCTGAAATACTCTATGTTTTATAAGCCAATGTTCCTTTATTAACATGTTAATATTTGAGCAAAGCCCATCAACTTCTTGCCATAAAAAAAATACAATGAACTTAAAAGTGGATCAGAAGGCTATGGAATCTCATCTCATCTCAATTAGAGTAATTCACTGGGGCAGCTTTTTGTTCTTTTAATAGTTTCATAGATCTTATCATTTATTTGTGCTGTGTATACATGTGCAGTCACAGCACACATGTGGAGGTTAGGACAACCGGTAGGAATCAGCTCTTTCTTATACTGTGTAGGTTCTGGGGCTCAAACTCTGGTCATCCTATTTGGTACCAATCGCATTTACCACTGAACATCTTCTCACTGGTCCTGGTAATTAGCTTATAATTACCTCAAATCTCAGCATTTTTACTTATTTACAGTCATGAAGTCACTTAGAGATGATTTATATAATAAAGGTAATATATACAAGACCTATCATAACAAGCTAAATTACAACATGAATACAGATGCCAGAGAGGGAGTGCAATAGGTAAATCCTAAAATTCTTTTAGCACTAATATTATTGATTGTATCTTTGAAGTAAGAAAAAACTTAAGATAGTTCCTACTTGGTAGTCAGAGAAAGAAAACATGATATAAATCATGGGAGCTAGAAACACGTTTTATGAGGTGGTTAAGAGCACACCTCTCTGATAACAAGATGCTAAAAGGCAATGCTCAAACCAGGAGACAGATATGAGTTCAAATCAACAATATGAGCTATACTGCAAATAAACAAAGTCATGACATCTGAATGGCAGCATTCAGCACAGTGCTTAAAGAGGAGTTTGCTTTGGGAAGTGACTTAGCTCTATTCTAACTTAGCAAGTTAGCTGGGGTAACTAACAAGTATGTAACATCATACTCAATTAATGTGTTGCTGGGGATCAAACCCAGGGCTTTGAAAAGGTGAGGCAAGCATCCCACCAACTGAGCTACAAACCCAGATTACATATTTTTGTTTTTAAATATTAAAGTAAGGCTTTAATTTAAAATGATCTTAATCGATTGACACCACAACTAAGAGATATATACATAAGTAGCAAAAAACAAATTATAGCTGGGCGGTAGTGGTGGACACCTTTAATTCCACCACACAGGAGGCAGAGACAGGCAGAGACAGACAAATCTCTGGGTTCGAGGCCAGCAGCCTGGTCTGCAGAGCAAGTTCCAGGACAGCCAGGGCTACACAAAGAAACACTGTCTTGAACCAAAAAAAAAAAAACCCAAAAAACAAAAAACAAACAAACACAAAACAAAAAGGAAATTGTAAAACATTCAGTGTAATTTTGTATTTATATTTTAAATCTCCCAGCAATATGGGACTGGAGAGATGCCTCAGAGGTTAAGAGCACTGACTGCTCTTCCAGAGGACCCGGGGTTCAATTCCCAGCACCCACATGACAGTTCATAAATATGTAACTCCAGTTTTAGGGGACCTGCCACCTTCACACAGACATACACGCAGGCAAAACACCAATGCACATTAAATAAAAATAATTATTTTTAAAAATCTCCCAGTAATAGAATTAAATTATATACATTCATATGCTATGAATGATATAGGGAGCATGGTATGCATTTCTTCTATAATTTCTGACTGGAGGAAAATAAAACTGATTTAAGATATTTTTCCAGCTGGATGTGGTGGCACACACCTTTAATCTCAAAGCTTGGGAAACACAGGCAGGTAGATCTCTTGAGTTCAAAGTCAGACTGTTCAACATAGCAAGTTAGAGGCCAGTCAGGGTTTACACAGCAAGACCTTGTCTCAAATAAATTTTCTATTGCAAACTTGCCATATATGTCACCTTGGGAGAAAACTAGATTCTTCTAAGCTTGGAAACATGAACTTAACATGTTTGAGAGAGACTTAATATGTAGGCCAAGCTGGACTCACTATGTGGCCTAGGCATCGGACTCCCTACCTGAGCTACCTTTTTTTAAAATGACATTCTGCATGTATGTGGGTGCTCACATACCTCCACCCATATGGAGGCCAGAGAATAACCAGCAGGAGTCAGTTCTCTCTGTCCACCATGTGGGTCTTAGGGTTAGAACTCAAGTAATCAGACCTAGCAGCAGGAAATTTCAAGGAGCTCATGGCTTAGCCTCTTGAATACTAGGGTAATAGGCATACACCACCATATCTGCTGAATGTAATGCTTTTTAAGGAAAACAAAACAGCAAACACTATTTTTTTTCTTTTCTAACTATATGTGATAAAGAAAAAAAGACATCTCCTAAACTAAGAAAATATAAAAGATGCAAGGTTCTATGACTGGGGAAGGGGCGTGGCAGGGATTTTGTAATTTCTGTTCTGTTAACTACTGTGAATAAAAAGCAGGAACGTGACAGGCAGCATATGCCTTTATCCCAGCACTTAGGAGGCAGAGGCAAGTGGATCTCTGAGCTCAAAGCCAGAGTGAATTCCAGGACAGCCAGGACTACACAGAGAAACCCTATGTCAAAAAACAAAATTTTTACAAATTCAACAAACAGAACAAAAAAAAAAAAAAAAACAGGAACTTGGCATTTGCAGAACAAATGTTTTTTTAAAAGGTCCTACTTACTTCCACTTACTTATACTAATCTAGCAAATGATATTTACTAATTCAGTTATTTGTCAAACAAAGAAAAAGCAAAACTCATTTTCTGTCTTTTCCTTTTTATGAGACAGTGTGTCATAGAGGGCCTGGGCCTGGGCCTGACTTAATATATAGCTAAGGATAGCCCTGAATTCCTAATTCTCCTGCCCCTACTTCCCAAGTGCTAGGATTACAGAGTATGCCACACTATACCTAGTTTAAATAGTATTTCTACAGCTGACAGCCAGTAGGAAGTGATCAGCATTACTCTTCAAATATTTGCATTCTAGCCACGGGTAAGATAAAAGTAGTTACACATCAAAGAAACAGGAACACACGATCTTTTCTAAATAATGTCATCTGAATTAGCAAATAATACTAACACTTTTACTATAAACCATGATGTATACAAAAAGTAAACACAAATATTGTATAGGTCAGTCTTTTGATTCCATCGCAGCTTATATAACATTAGCCAAAATAAGAAAGCTGACTTACCTGGGGCCTTTTGGACCCTCCAAGAAACTGCTTCTGGGAGATTCTGGAAGCGGTCCACCTGACCTCACTGACATGTCCTTATTTGTAGAGACAGACTGAGATGGAGCAGCTGGAGGTTCCACAAGTCCTGGCTCTGAAGAGAACGAACTGAATGCCTTGTTCAGAGGTTTGGAATTCACTTGTTCTGAATGAGGTGGAGGGTGGTAAGATGAAGGTGGGTTTGAACCAAAAGGCATAGGTGTAGGAAGCAGTGCTTGCTGAGGGTTTTCTGGGACTTGTGAGCTTTGGGAACTGGAGACTGGTGGCACTGGAGCTGAGGTTAACTGAGGGGGCAGTCCTTGTGGGACTCCAGGGGGAGGGATTCCTGGAGGAGGTGTGGCTGAAGATAATGGCGGGAGGGGCAGGACAGGTGGAGGTGCCCCAGAAGAGAGAGATGGCGGGGGGAGGACTGGTGGTGGCCCTGCAGAAGAGAGGGAAGGCGGGGGGAGGACTGGTGGTGGGCCCGCTGAAGAAAGAGATGGAGGCATCCCTGGTGGGGGCACAGAGGTTGGTAGAGAAGGTGGCATCACAGGTGGGGGCATGCCAGGTGGCGGTACAGTAGCAGGTAAAGCAGGGGGCATCACTGGTGGTGGCAAGGATGGAGGTAATACTGGAGGGGGCATTGTTGGTAGAGGTGGAGGCATCTGAGAATATGGGGCAAATGGAGGCGGCATTGACAAGTTCCCCATGTACTGGTTCTTCACATTCTGAAATGAACTGACTTTGTCCTGGAGGTAAGTCTGAGTGGCTTTCATATGTCCTTGCCATGTTTTCCACTGCTTCTCATACTCCTGAAGCTGATCTTTATGAGGATAGGAATGGAGCTGTTCCTCCCACAGCTGAAACTCTCGCTCCCATTCTTGGTAGAGATGTTGAAATTGTTGCTGCTGCATCTCATAATGTCGCAATTGCACATCTAGAGACATTGTCTACAAATAAAGGATAAAATTTCTTTCAAGATAGCCATGTAAGAATCAGTTCTAACTTACAATATTCATGTACTCTTGGTACATGAATAAAAAATTTCCAAGGGGAAAGATAAAATTGCTAGATCCTTTCAGTGATGACCATTCTTCTTTCCTTGGGCTACTTAAAGAATATCACACAACTAGAAAAACCCAACCAAACCCTGAGGCAAACAGCTATTCTCAGCAATGAGTATTTTCCAAGGTTTTAATGTTACTAAGGACTAAGGATCATTTTAAGAATTTGAAAATAAAAGAATGTTGAAAATCCATTACTATAACATAGACACAAGACTATACCTCACTGTATTAAGACAAATATATAAATCATTTTATACACTTACTTATGGTATACTGCTTAGGGCATATGTGTGTTGACTGCTTTGGCCCTTTTGGTGAGTTACATGATTCTCTGTTTTTAGAGATATCAGATTAACTTGTACTTATGTGAAAACAAGTCTCTAATGTCTTAGCAACAGTATTCTAAGAGATAAATTCTATCAAACCCTCCCGCCTCAACAGATTCCATCACAACACCCACCCTCCATAATATGAAACAACTATTTGTCAATACTGCTTTATCTTTTGTTTTTCACCCTCAAATCTCTTTTGGGAATAACAAATCCTTTACTCATTTTTGGGACATCTTCCTAACCACTTAGTTTGGAAACACTCACCTGTATGTGTGGTGAATGCTGGATGACTTGTTGGTACTGCTGTAGGATCTGCTGTAACTGAGTATGCTTCTGCATTATTCCCTGATACTGAAAGCCAACTCGATGCTGCTGGTGCTGCTGCCAGTGTGCTGCTGCAGCCTGCAACTGTTTTAACCTAGCTTCCTCTTCTGGGTCTTCAGACTGAAGGTAAGAGAAAACAAAAACACTTCTAAGTCATAAAGCAGCAACCAAATCAATCAAGTCCAGAATGCTTTTGACTCAGGCTGACTGTGAAACGTTATCCTATATTTAGACAAAATATGAAGCCGTATGCCACAATCTTCACTAGGATAGTAATTTCATTCTTCTTAAACAAGACAACCATTTCCCCAGCAGGGAATGAATCTACATTATAGTATCTTTCAACCTATGAGGAAACCCTCTTTCCCTCCCTTTCTCCCTTTCTTCCTGTCACATTTCACCAGAAATCTGAAAGTTAACTGTAGCTCAACAAAGTTGTGAGAACAGTATTTGAACTAATATAGAATTCTCTGCACCACAGTCACTATGCATTATGTGACAAAGATGATCATTTTTAATGTTTCAGCATCTTTAAAATAGCTACTACCTGAATATATCCATTCTGCAGATGAGTAAATTAGTAGAGAATGATTACCTAACCTGTTCAGAGTCACCACTGTAAGTGGCAGTGTTTGGGTGGCTGAACCCAAAAGCTAAAGATCTAAACAATTGTGTAGTGATATTTTGTTTAATAAAGCTTGCCTGAAGTTCAGAGTACCGAACTAAGCCACTAGTCAGCCATAGAGGCTAGGCAGTGGTGGTGCACACCTTTAATACCAGCACTCAGAAGCCACCATGGGCTATACTAGATCGATCCAGTCTCAAAGAAAAAGAGAGCTCACACCTTTAATCTTAGCATTTGGGATCCTGTGCTTTTAATCCTAGCACTAGAGACAGGAGTGCTATAGCTGGTTGGGAGAGAGGAATACAAGGCAGGAGGAGACAGGAGCTCAGTGCAGTCTGTGGTTTGGTGGACACAGATGCAGTCTGGAGATACAGTCTGAAGATAGGATCGCTCCTTTGGTCTGAGCATTGGTAGAGGTAAAAGAACACTCTAGTAGCTGGCTGCTCTGGTTCTCTGAGTTGGTTTTTATTAAGACAACCAGAACAGAATTCATGCTGCACTATTGCCCTGTGCTGTAATTATGAATACACCCGGGCATTTTTCTTTTGTGTTGAGACACTCCATCAAAAGAGTATCTAATTCTTCACTTTCAGGCAACCTCCCCAAAATCCCTTTGCTACACCTCGATAGCTGACATCTGATTACTTTAAAAGTGGAATTTTTTAGGTACCTGAATACATATCATACATATGTCCATTTATGACAAAAGTGTTCGTAAACAAATCAGACAAAACTTAGATGACTGAATAAACACCATACAATTACCTGGGGTTCCTCAGGTGGGAGCGGAGGTGGTGCCTCTTCATTTGGAGGTGGCAATGGGGGCTCTTCAGCTGAAAGAGGCTCTGACATTTGAGTGGTGGCAGGCACTGGAACGTCTTCTTTTATGGTTTCAGGTACATCCTTTGTTGTAACGGGACCCTTTTTGTGTCCTGGAAAATGCACTTTTGTCCTCTGCTGCAAACTAAGCAGATGCTGTCGATACCAGTATTGTTGTTGTTCCTACAATACAAGCCATTTTTAAGAACTTTATTTTATTTATTCAGTGTGTGTGCATTTCTGTGTGGGCACAAGCTTGCCACAGAGAGAGGAGGTCATAGGACAACTTTAGGCAAATGGTTCTCTCCTGCTATGTGGGTTCTAGAGAATCCAACTGAGGTCATCAGGCTTGGAAAACAAGCACCTTCTCTACTGAGCCATCTCTCTCTGGCTCAATTTTAGAATGTTAATTGATAATCACATATCTCTGCATCTGGTGTTGACAAAGCTACATGTATATGTGTTCATGCACCAAATAGAAGAACAAAGCTGGACTGAAAGAGGCAAGTTTTCAAGATAGAGAAAATTTTAAATTCTTCCCCAAAATTTATAAATTTAAATTAAGCCATACATCATAGTTGAGCATGCTTCTGGTTTCTCCCCTTCAATGCTAAGTACTGAGCCTAGGATTTTATGCAGGGCAGATACATGGTACACATACATACATCCAGGCAAATCATTAATATACATCAAATAAAATACATGGAAAACAAAAACAAAGCAAAAAAAAAAAAATTCCTTCTGAGGCTGGGTATAGTGGCATACACCTTAAATCCCAGGAACCAGAGGGCTATGTCATGTTGGATGTCTGTGAGTTTGGGACTAGTCAGAACTACATAGTTAAAACCTTGCCTTGAAAAGAAGAGGAGAGAGAAACAGGGCTCTGCAGAAGAGAACAGTCTTTCTGTCAGTATGCACAGCTACCTGTGTATAATCTGCCTTTAGTGTGCTGGCATTTACTCACAGGAATCCTCCAATTAAAGAAAATTACACCATTTTAGTCTTTACTCTTCTCCAAATACCTATTTCCTTTAAAGATACACCGTATCAGTCTATCTGTACTCAGATATACACTATACATGAAACTTTATTTTTTAAACTTTTTATTTATTTCAAAATTTCTGATTTATTGTCTAAATTATACTGTTAATTTAATTTTTAGGAAGAGATTATTTTGTCATTTATTACAGGGTTTCTCTGTGTAATATAGTCCTAGATTTCCTGGAACTTGCTTTGTAGACCAGGCTAGCCTTGAACTCACAGAGAACTGCCTGCCTCTGCCTCTTGAGTGCTGGGATTAAAGGCATGTCATGTCATACCATGCCTAGTTCATCTTTTATCCTTTAAAAGTACAAAAAGAACTTCAGCAAGGAGAAAAAAGTTAGAAAGCAGATAGGTATGGTAGAACACGCCTGTAATCCCAGAACTTGGGAAGGTAGAAGCAAGAGACCACCCTGAGGTACACAGTGAGTTTGAGGCCATTCTATCAAACAAAACAAAAACAGGGAGAGAAGAGGCTGGGGTGATAGTTTAGTGTGTAAAATGTTTGCTATGCAAAATGAGGATCTGAGTTTGGATTCCTATAACCCACAAAACAGGCAGGCATTGTAGTGCTGATCTGTAACCTCAATGCTAGAAGGCAGAAACAGGAGGATTAAAAAAAAAAAAAAAAAGGAAACAGGAGATGACAAAACAACAGAGAAACGATATCCCAATATCAATTAACCCTTTGCATGCATGTGCCTCTGCATGCATGTACATGCAAACAGAATTAGGAGAAAAAAAAAAACCAATTCCTGGTATTTACAGATTCTATATATGTAAATTTGCTGATCTGCTAAAAGTTTATTTCAAACTCCAATAACAATACTCAGTAAACTTTCCCAGTCATTTATAAACAGGTGAGTGACAGTGAAGAACTGAGTAACCTGTGGCCTGACAGGTGTATTCCCAGCTGAGGTAATAACAAGGTGGATTCTGCTTTCTGGTTACTGATCAGTGTAGCTAGTACCACAAATTCCACAAATTTTTGTTATCTTTACAATTAAAATGCCCCCTGCAATCATTCAGGAGTATTGGCAGGTGGACCAGCCCAGTCTGGTCTATAGTGGAACCCTGTCTCAAAAAACCAACCAACAAAGAAAAATAAAGTACAAAGCTGTATTCCTACAGCAGCTGTGACTGCCCTTATAAAGAAATGTATGTTCTATAAATTTCATTCAAGCAAGCATTGCTCTGTTTACCAAGAGCTGAATGCTAATGAATCAACAATATCTACAAAATAAGGTGTCTTTAAAGGGAAAACACATATGCATGGTTATATATTGAGGAAAACACAATCAGAAGATCAGAGTCATCTGTATTTTCCTTAGAATAGAGGTTCAATATTCATTAACTTTTGTGGTGACTTTGAAGACCAGCAATACTCCCCACATAAAAATATACTAACTGTACAGTAAGTAATTAACAATTAAAATTAATTCTTTTAAAATTCACTACTCAAATGAAAATCTTCCAAATCCTCGTATTTTATTATATAATTCTCCATGGTTATAAGGCTACATAAGGATAAACAGAAGTTGTCATGACTTCTGTCAATACAGTGTGTGTGGTGTTACAAAATTGTAATATCAGCACTCTAGAGAACAAGGGGACTGGAGCCCAAAGTCATTCTCACATACACAGAGAGTTAGAGGCTAACCTGGGCTTATCTCTAAAATTTTTTCTTCATAATCTGAAATACACACTAAAGAACTACCCTGTAGACTCTTATGATAAGCATTAGTACACATTTGCCCTATAAGTAAGATTTTTATGAAAGAGATGTTGAATACCAAGCAAGCTAGAGTTACATGGTAAAACCTTGTCTCAAAAAAGGGCACAACCTGCATACCAAAGGTTTAAAAAAAGACTCCAGAAAAACTGATAAATTCTTAAAATATGCTTATCAAAAGATTAAAAATGATAGACAATGATGATGTGAAATTTTATCATAAAATTGTAGGATCAAGAGCCAGAATGGTAGCTCACAACTTTAGTCCCAACCCCTCAGGAGTCAGAGGAAGGCCTGAGTTTAAGACCAGCTTGGTGTACAAAGTGAGTTCCAGGACAGCCAGTGCTACACAGAAAGACCATGTCTCAAAATAAGAAAACAAACAACCCCTCCCACAAATAAACATTTTTAAAAACATTTATATGCACACAGGATTGAAACCCAATCTAGCAGAGTGTGGTGGTGCATGCCTTTAATTCTGCATGTAGAAAACAAGCAGAAAGATCTGTGAGTTTGAAAGGCGTAAGGTCTACAAGTTCCAGGCCACTCTGTGGTACACTGAGAGCATCTCAGAGAGGAAAAAACAAAAACAAAAACAAACCCAATTCAATCTGTGGGGTGAGTGGAGGTGGGGGTAATGTTGCTACAAGCCTATAATCCCAGCACTTGTGAGGCAGCCTGAGTTCAAGGCCAGCCTGGTCTTTGTTCAATTTACAAAAACCTAATACAAACTATCTATTGTTGTAATTTTAAGCCCTGAAGCTCTGTTTACTTTTTTTTTTTTTTTTTTTTTTTTTTTTCTTCTTTTTTGGTTGTTTGGAGACTGATTCTCATTATGCAGCCCTGGCTGTCCTGGAACTTCCTCTGTAGACCAGGTTGGCTTTGAACTCAGAGATTCACCTGTCTTTTGTTTTCTGAGTACTATACTTAAAGGTATGTGCCACCTATCAGATAATTTGTGTGTGTGTGTGTGTGTGTCAAATGGGTTAATTTCACACACTCACTTTCCTTTATTTTATTTTATTTTATTTTTGGAGACAGGGTAGCCCTGGCTATCCTGGAACTCAGAGAAAAAGACCCACCTGCTTCTGCTTCCCAGTGCTAGGATTAAAGGTATGCACCACCATACCTAGCTACATGCTCACTTTCTAACCCAATTATCTTGGGAGAACAATAGTTCCTACATTGTTAATAATTTATTTTATAATCTCTCCCAATTTTCTATGTGCAAAGAGATGTACGAAATATACATAATATAATATTTTTCCTCACCAACTAGACTGATTTGTTACTGTTCACTCAACACTGTAATTTATGTGGGAAAAAGTTATCCTTTTTTTTTTTTTGTTTTGATATAGGGTCTCACTATGTACCTCTGACTGTCCTAGAACTCACTGCACAGACCAGGCTAGTTGTGAGCTCACAAAATGCTAGGATTAAAGGCATGAGCCATGTCCCAGCTCATCTTTTGCTATTTTTAGCTAGTCTTCTAACTTCAGCAAAGTGCTAGAACACATGATAGGATATCAATAAGTGATACTATCATAAGCCACTCATTTGATCTGAAACTTTTCTAACTTCTTGGCAAGAATAAATCCTATCTCACTAACTCTATTTTGGCTCTTATTATAATACATATAACCCTTAGTTACTCTTACTATCCAGCATTAAGAAAAAAGTGTGTGGTGGCACACACTTTTAATCCCAGAGTTTGGGAGACAGAGGCAGGCAGTGAGTCCAGGCCACTCTGATCTAAATACCCCATATTCCAGGCCAACCAGAGCTACATAGTGAGACCCTGCCTCAAAAATACTACTAACAGATAAAATAAGACTCATTAGGAAGTCGGGCATGATGGCACATGCCTTTAATGCCAGCATTCAGGAGACAGAGGCAGGTGGATCTCTGCCAGTTCCAGAGATCTAGAACAAGCCAGAGCTATTACACAGAGAAACCATCTCAAAAAACAAAACAAATAAACAAAAATAAACAAAACAAAAAAACTCAGCAATATTGTAATATCACATCATTTTCAGCCAGGCATGGTAACAAATGCACTTGGGAGACTGAGACAGTAGGATCAGAAGTTCAACATCATTTTCACCACATGGTAAGTTCAACATCAGCCTCAGCTACACGAATCCTCATCTCAGAAAAACAAGAGGAAGACAAAAATAATTCAATTTCCTCTACTACTTTAAGAAAGTATCAATAGGTTCATCACTCACCTTAAAAAAAAATAAAGTCAGGATCTGATAATGTAGCTCATCAATTGATAGAGGATTTGCTTGCCAAGCATGCACTCATTCTGAGTTCTACTCCCAGCACAAAATAAAAAACCAAGAGAGTAGCATATGCCTATGATCCACTAAATCGTCTTTCGGTTTCCATATGCACCACAGCACATGTG